GAAGGTGGCTGCCTCTATCAGAGCTGCCTTCTGCAAGAGTCTACACTTGATCCTGAAGTGCTTAGATGGTAGAGGTGGGGCCACTCATGGAGGTTACAGGAAGGCAGAGTTAGGCTCATCCTGAGAGGACCTGAAATCAAGGGCAACCCACTTGGAGCAAATCACTTTTTTATTATTTTATTTTATATATATATATTTTGAGATGGAGTCTTGCTCTGTTGCCAAGGCTGGAGTGCAGTGGTATGATTTCAGCTCACTGCAACCTCCACCTCTTGAGTTCTAGCAATTCTCTGCCTCAGCCTCCGGAGTAGCTGGGATTATAGGTGCATACTGCCACACCTGGCCAATTTTTTTTTTTTTTTGTATTTTTAGCAGAGATGATGTTTCACCATGTTGGCCAGGCTGGTCTTAAACTCCTGACCTCGTGATCACCTCCGCCTCGGCCTCCCAAAGTGCTGGGATTACAGGCGTGAGCCACCGCACCTGGCTCTTTCATCTTTTTAAGAGGCAGTGTCTTGGTCTACTGCCCAGGCTGGAGTGCTGTGGTGCAATCATAGCTCACTGCAGCCTTGACCTCCTGGGCTCAAGTGATCCTCCAGCCTCAGCCTCCCAAACAGCTGGGACTACAGGTGCACACCACCACACCCAGCTAATTAAAATTAGCTTTCTCTTTTGTAGAGACAGAGATCTTGCTATGTTGTCCAAGCTGGTTTTGAACTGCTGGCTTCAAGCAATCCTCTGGCTTGGCCTCCTACAGCCCTGGGATTACAAGCTTGAACCACTGTACCTGGCCAGCAACCCACTTTCGCGGGTCCTTTTGCATATGGCAGCCTGAATCACCTCAAAGACCTGTGTAGCAGGTATTATTTAACACTGTGATAGAGAAGTTAACAGTGAGGTTCTGAGAAGGTAAGAAAGTGCTTTGGGTCACACTGCTTAAAAGCAGCAAAAACAGGATCAGATTTGAGTCTGGGCTGCTTCCAAATTTGTGGCCATCTGATGGCCTCCATTCAGGACAAAATAACTGCTAAAAAGGGAGAGAAATATGCAAGTCAATATAGCACCTGGAACACTTCCCACTTGTGACAGGAAAGCATTTTCTCCAGAAAAGGGTTTTAAAGCCCTAACATTTTGATTATGGAGCTCTCTCGAAGAAATAGAGAAGAGACGCTGTAGCTTCCATTCTTCTTTCTTTCACTTCTTATTAAGGGCAGTTTTGTGGCAGCAATAAAGGAAAATAACTCAGTATCGATGTTCAGTAAGCTCCCCATCAAACTTAGAGGAGAAACAGAAGAAGGATGTTGCTATAAAAATATCTGTAAATGGACCCATCCACATAAGACGAATTTAAAAGCCGGGGCAAATGGATTCTCAGTTGCCTTTTCTTTCCCATTTCCTTGTAACAAGTGTAATCTTTCCTAACTTAGGTCTGAACAATTCCAAATGATGACCTGATTTGCAGCGATGGGCCTAGCGTGAGCCAGAGGGGCTCAGATAAGTGTTTATAAACTATCGCACTCGGGCACGGGACACTAGCAAGTGGCTTTGCCTCTTTGAGCTTCTGTTTCCTCTTAAGTGACTTGAAGGGACCCTAAGAGGCCTTTGGCCTCAATCTGCATCAACTCGGAATCTTCCTACAACAATATCCTAGTGTCTGTTTCTTGTCTTATTATTGAAATTGCTGTATACGAGTAGAGTTAAGTGGCTAAAAATACAGTATGAGAAATAACAGTCCTGAGGGCAGATTATCTGGGCTTAAATTTCAGCCCCAGCTCACTTTACTCGCTGGATGACCTGGGCACAGTATTCAAACTCTCTAAACCTGAGCGTCTGCATCTGTGAAATGGTTATATTAACAGTACCTACCCCACTCAGGTGTCTAACGGTTGAATGAGTTCAGATGTCAAGAGTGTGTGCTATTATGGCTGTCACTGTCTGGCATTGGTTCCGAACTCTGTATCAGGCTCACTCAAGGAGATCTGAGAAACCCACAAGCAAATGATCTGTTTCATGGGGTTAGATTCAATAGATCTGGGCTGAGGACCAGGAAGCTGCAAAGTCCCTGATGCACAGCTAGAGGTGAAAACCCCAGTCATCTGTTCACATAAGGCCCCCCCCCCACCCCAACCAAAGGCAGGCAAGTCATACTAGCACTGTGTAGCTGAGCAGGAAGCACACAGGCTTTAGTTCCAGAAAGACTTGAGTTCAAATACTGGCTTTGCCGTTTCTTAACCACGTGGCCTTCAGCAAGTTACCTTTTGCCTCTGAGTTTGTTTTCTCATCAATAACACGGACAGAACATCATCTTTCTGGCAGCTGTTGCGAGGTTTAAAGAGAGGTGAATGACAAATTTAAAGCCCTAGCAGGCAATCAAGAAATGATACTTTAAAAAATATATATTTATCCTTACACAGATTGCTCAAACCAGAAGGAAAGATCACAGAAGTTAAAAGTGCTAAGCTATTTGGAGCCTTTGAAATAGGCAGTTGATCTTCTAAGAACTGTGGATTATGATTTATCTTTTTAAAACAATAAATACATGAGTATTCTATTTTTTCTCCCTTTGAAACAAAAGACATAGCATATTTATGTATTCTTTGCTACATGTTGCTTTTTAAAAAAATCAATCATATATCTTGGGGAATTTTTTCAAATTGGTAAAGAACATCTTTATTTTTACTTTACAGAATCATAGTATTCCATTGAATTGATGGTTCATAACAAGTTCCCTATTGACGGGCATTGAGGATTTTTTTTTACCATTTGCTTCTACAAACTGTGCAGGAATAGATAACTTTTAAATAAGTCTTTTCGAACAAATGTGTCTGTAAGGTAAATTCCTAGAAGTGGAATTGCTGGATCAGAAAGGTTGTACATTTGTCATTTTGTTAGAAATTGCCAAATTGCCCCCTATAGATTTTGCACCAATTTATACTCCTATCCACAACAGGAGAGGGGAAGTTGTTTCTCACCCCATCATTAACACAATCTGTTGTCCAATTTTCTGACTTTTGCCAATATGATCATCAAAAAGCAGTATCACAATGTAGTTTAATTTGCATTATTTTGTTAGGAGTGTGTGATGCATCTTTTCACATGTTTTAAAATAATTTCTATACCTTTTCCTGTAAAATGATTATTTATACACTTTGCCTATTTCTCTATTGGTCTAATCTTTGTCATTCTGATTTATAGCAACTCTTGATATATTTTCAATAGCAGTCCTAATGAACTATAAGAATTACAAATATATATATATATATATATATTTAAGCTTGTCATTTATTTTTTGGCTTTGCTATGGTGTTTTTGTTCTGTATATGCTAGTTTGCTAAGCAGATTTTTTCAAAATGTAGTTGAATTATTTTTCTCTTATGGCTTGTGGGTTTTGTCTGATGGTTTCAAAAGGCTTCCCCACTCCGATATTATAAAATAATTCTCCCATGGTTCCTTCTGATAAGTTTATATTTTGTATTTTTTCATATAAATCTTTGATCCATTTGAAATTCATCCTGGTGTAAGGTATGGCTCTAACTTCTTTTTAACTGGATGAATTGTATTTTTTACACTTAGAGAAGAATAATATACAAGAAACAGTAGGTAGGATTTAAAAAGGCAGTCTTGAAGATTTCAAGCAAAGAGAAAATGAACAATTATTCTTGTTAGATAACTTCAACAGCTAAATTTCTTTTGGGTGTGAAAGCACACTCACTTTTTCTCTCCCTCTCCTTACCAGTTGTCACTCATTTACCAAAAATATAAATCTTAACAGTGAATTGAGGTAAAAATTATAGATGGTATAGAGTGAAAGTTTCTGAAGATGACATGAGTGATGGCTTTATTTTCCTCCCTTGCCACAGAATTCTCTTTTGTGGGCATCCTATCTCCTTGATTTCCAATGCTTTAAAAGCCTCAATGCAATAACAATATAATCATAAAAGCTAATTAGTAAAGATTTTGTGTCTAGTTAATGATGTACAATTGATTGTGGCTCGAGGACAGAACGAGAGCAACCATTCATCCGTGATGAGCATTGCATTTTATCTTCTCACAATGTGAAGGTGATGGCATTTTTATGACTGCGTTTCCATTATGGAGACATCTGAACCAATTCACCAATCTGTTCTGTGGCATCAGCTTTTACTACTAGCAAACCTGAGCCCTTTAAAAATGTAGAGATAATTCTAGATGCCTGATTACGGGAGGAATGAGGAAAATTAATTACATATGGGCCAAATGGTAAAAAAAAAAACAGGCATCATTTATCTGTTCTCTCTTTGGTTAATTTCCTTTTTCAACTACACTTTTCTCCTCTAAGGCCATTGGTCATAATTACATTATACAAATCCCTGATTGAAAATAACCTTAAAGCAGCTACTTAAATAACTATAAACCCCCATCTCTCTTTATTTTTTCTGGACCTGTCTCATACTCATTAATTCTTTGTAAATAAATATATGTAGATAGACGTAGACATTCACAGATGTTAAACTATCTGTTTGCATAGAGAAGGAAACACCCTGTGGAGACGCTGGGACTTCCCAGAAAAAGCCATTCTCCAGGAATTTATTCTGTGCTAACTTCCTCTCCTGAGTCCAATGGCTTGAAGCCTTCATTTTCCGCTTCCTTCCCTGCTCCTGCCTTTCTTCTCCTTTCATAATTTCCTCCTCCACCTCAAGAGGCTCTAGCCCTGAAGCCATGCACAACTGTAGCTCCCATCTTTGGGGTTTGGTTCAGTACCCCATTTTTCAAAGGCACGGGAGTTCGGCTCTTTTCAGAGTTGGTCTGGATCACAGAGCTATGCTGAGAAAAGTGCATAATGGGTGCAGAACTTCAGTGGGGAAGGATAACGAGTTTCTGGTGGTGTGGCTCTTTTCTTAGATTGTACAACCAAAGTGGCATTGCCGGCATAGTAATTCCCGGTTGCCATTTTCTGACGTTTGAAAAGACCTGAAGATACGCTCCTTGGATGCTGCTGAAAAGCTCTGGGGCCTCAGCTGATGACCCTGGGTAGCCACTGAGCACTGTGCTCGCACTGGGTGCCACCTCGACTCCACTCTCCTCTCTCTCTGGGATCATAGAGTCAAAGGTGTCCTGTGATCTGTTGGCCAATCCCAGAAGCTCAGTGTGCAGAAGATTGAGGAGCAATCAGTTTGGGAGGTGCCTGGTGTTTTGGAGATGGGATCCAGAGGTCTCTGCACACCGAATGCCTCTTCCCCTCTTGTACCAGCTTGATGCTGACTTCATTACATTTGGGCTTCTGGGCCCTGGGAGGAACAAGGCTGGGGCTGGGTTGAGTAGGTGGATAGAACACAAGGCATCTCTTTATTATTTTCTCCTGTCTTTCTAGGTTAGTAGAGTTTGGTTTAAATGGAAAAGCATGAAGCTTTTTCTTTCCTCTTTACTCAAGGGCTGGCTCTAGAGGGGAGATACTAGGTGAAGCGGAAAGAGTGAACACAGGGTGAATTGGTAAAGCCACACCACCAGAAACTCGTTATCCTTCCCCACTGAAGTTCTGCACCCATTATGCACTTTTCTCAGCATAGCTCTGTGATCCAGACCAACTCTGAAAAGAGCCGAACTCCCGTGCCTTTGAAAAATGGGGTACTGAACCAAACCTTTAAAACTTGTGTCCTTGGAGGAGTAAAATGGCATGGGGTCATTCTCAGCCACCCAGTCACCCTTCCTCTTTGCTGGTGTCTCTTTACCAAACAGAAACTTTTTACAGTGAAGGGCTTGAATACTTGATACTATAAAGATCTTTTTTGTTTTGGAGAAGGGCCAGGTGCAGCAACTCATGACTCTAATCTCAGTGCTTTGGGAGGCCAAAGCAGGGGGATCACTTGAGCCCAGGAGTTTAAGACCAGCCTGGCAATGTGGCAAGAAGTCTGACTCTACAAAAAAAATAGCTGGGTGTTGTGGTGCGTGCCTGTGGTCCCAGCTACTCAGAAAGCCAAGGTGACAGGATGGCTTGAGCCCAAAAGATCGAGGCTGAGAACTAGGATCGTACCATTGCCCTCCAGCCTGGGCAACAGAGCAAGACCCCATCTCTCTCTCTTAAAAGGGTGATGGTGCTGAAGTTGAGTTCCCAGTAGTTTGAAGAATTTGTTCTGATGACTTTGGTAACTGGTTTTTGTAGGTACCAAGTATCTACCTAAATAACAGATCATGAAATGAGGGGGTCGAAATTGGGACAGGAGCTATTTTCACAAGTTCCCACAACCCTATCATAAGAGAATAATCGCTACAGCATACACACACCACAGTGCTGAAATCCGACTGTTCACAACTTTGGCTGCCAAGGTGTTTTCCATGGAAATTCTCCTTTGGCTTGGCACAGGCCTAGATTTCTGGATGCCATACATGACACACTTTTCGCAAGAGGCATTTGCAGTAGAGGCATATTTAATACATGCTGATATCTGCTGCTGTTCTGTCTAAGACACTTTAATTGAACTTTCATATTTTGTACTTATGTCCCAAGGCAATTTAATCAGGAAAGTTGCAATGTGATGTGCAAAAATGATAAATAAGTAAATGATATCTAATTTCCAAAAGAGGGCAGCAGCAATGGAGAATCATGGTAAAAGTCCATCTTCACATCACCCTTATGAAATCCCTGCAATTCTGCAGTTCTTCTATATGTCCCTGAGTGAGGCCGTCTCTTGGTAAGGTACTATTAAAGAAATCATACATATCCCCTCACACACACAGAATAAAATGAAAAAAATATTAAGAACTGTATCGCTTCCTCCTGCAGGGATCCCTGTTTATGAGATCATCAAACATTTCCTTTGTCCATATCCAGGTCCCCATCTGAAATCCTAACTCTTTGGAACCCCATCTGTTCAGACCCAGCCCTTCCTGGGGCCACAGAGAGAAGCACGTGACAGTGGCCATTCCCTCACCTGTACCACCTGTCCACAGACAAACACACTGCACTGGGTTCTTCTTAGTAATGGTCTCTGGGACTGTAGCAACCCCCAGATTCAGGAATGCTCAGAATAACAGTTCAGGCCCTGGCCCTTTCCCAGTGCAAAGTTCCTGCTTCTCTTCAAGATGACAAAGTCAAGGTAGGGAAACCCAGGGAATCCGCAAACCTTCAACTCGCCTCCTGTAGCCAGCGGGTAAACTCAGGAAGCAAGGGAGGGAGGCGTGATGACATCTGGTCCCAGGCATTGCCAAGGTAATCAGAGAAGACTGTCAAGCAAGCCAGGGTCAGAAAGGGAACACTGTGCCCTTTTAGCATAGAAAAAGGCAAAGTCCCATCAACTTGAAAAGAATGTCAATGACTCAGTAGACAAAATAAGGGTTGTCAGCCAAAACTGATCCCAGTCTTGTGAAGTGAGTCTGAATTTGTAGGTGAGGTTTTTTGTTTGTTTGTCTGTTTATTTTTGAGATAGTCTCTCACTCTATCACCCAGGCTGGAGTGCAGTGATGTGATCTCCACTTACTGCAACCTCTGCCTTCCAGCTTCAAGCTGTTCTCGTGCCTCAGCCTCCTGAGTAGCTGGGACTACAGGTGCCTGACATCATGCCTGGCTAATTTTAAAAATATCTTTAGTAGAGATGGGGTTTCAACATGTTGGACAGGCTGCTCTTGAACTCCTGGCCTCAAGTGATCCCTCTGCCTCAGTCTTCCAAAGTGCTGAGATTACAGGCATGAGCTACTGTGCCTGGCCTCTGGCTGAGGTTTTTAAAAGACAAAACCAAACTGACTGCACCCCTGCGTGAGAACTTTCTGCCACCCTCCTCTGTGGCATGATGGCCTCCACCATGGCACTGGGTGTCCCATCTCTCTTACCCACAGTAGTGAAACCAAGGTTTGTATTGAGACACTGAATATAGGACCAGGAATACAGAATTATAGGACCATGGGTGAAGGAGGTACAAGCCAGGCTGTGTTACAGAAGTGGTTTCTAGCTGTCTCTCCATCCACGTGAACATGCCTGCTTTCTAGCTGCAGGAGCTGATGAGCCCAGGTTTATGGCAACATAGAGAGGCCCAGCCCCTCTGGAATGTTTAAATTTCTGAATTAAGCAAAGTGGGCACCCATACAATGTATCCAAACCTACATCCAGCTTTCTCACTCCCTTGCATGACCTGTACACATCTAACACCCCAAGGGCAATTCTTTGTGATTTTTCTACCATACTTGGACATTCTTGCCCTCAAGTTCCTACAGAGTCCCACCTCTCCTCTGCTGGCTAGCTCCAATACTCTCTTCATGAAGACTTTCTTATGGCCCCAAACTAGAGGCATTTTCTCTCTTCTCAAATGACATATTTTTCTTTTGTGGTGAAGATTTGTGTTTTTGTCTTCTTATGCTGCTCATGACCTTGAAAGCAGAAAGTTACAGGTATTCACGTGTCTAGCAGGGATTGCACAGTAGGTGCTCACTTCCTCATACATTTCTGTATTCTATAAACTTGAAAGCCAGGTGTTGTTCTAGGCACTGAGGACACAGAGGTACTAGGACACTGCTTCCCTCTCTTGTATGCTTGTTAGGGATTCAACACAACATGAAATAATTGACAAATTCAGGGAATGGTAATCTGACCATCCCCAGTTACAAATGATGTTTCATGCTACCTTCTATTCCTGCCCTCATAAATCAAGGTAATTACTTGGCAATCCAGCTACGCCTTGTAAGGCAAAAGAGCTGTTCATGTCTTGTGTCAAATGTTGAACAGGGACGGGGAGCAAAATGGTAAATAATCCTGCCTCCCATCTGTGCTCAGTCAGCTCTAAATCTCCAGGAAAAAATGCACTCAGGATCGCCAGAGAAAAATCCTTCCAACTGTGCATCGAAAGGTAGGATTCTGTGCAGCAGATAAGGGACTGGCTCGAATAAGTGTGTGCGGAGCTTTCGTGTTTGAAAGCGAGCCTGTGCACTTCTAACAGATTGAAAGGTTTCCTTGCCTTCTCTGATCTTACACACAGCAAGGACAGCAAAGCCTTCCAGGCCTGCCTGTGACATATGCTGCACAGTCTAAAGGTGCCCCATGCAACGGAAAACACCCCCGTCTGCTCCAGCACAACTGCCATTCTTCCACCTTATCGCCCTTAATGGAACAACTCCTTAAAGGCAGAGATTTTGAAATGTGTTCTTGCCAGAAGAGAGACTCAAAGATGGGACAAATGGATAATTTCAATGCTTGTTAAAATGGAAATGGACATAATATAGTCAGAGGATTGTGGCAGCCAAGAGCATAGGCTCTGGAGCAAATCTGCATGGGTTGCGACCCCAGGCATGCAAGGTCCCAGTGGTATGAGCTTAGGCAAGTATAGAGGTTTCATACTTCTCTATACCTCATCTCTAAATGGAGTCAATAAAAGAACTTACCCTAAAAGTATTATCCTATTAAATGAATTATCATTTGTAAGGGGCTTAGAATAGTGTGTGGCAGTCATTAGTGCCATGTCAGTGTTTACTAAATTAAAAAAAATTAAAACTTTATCTCTTTAGGAAAAGAAAAAAAGGACATATATGCCTCTACCTTTTGATTTCCAACAGTCTACCGAGAAGCCAAGATTATTTGCAGGGAAAGGAAAGGGGTACGTTTTATCATACACAGTACATTTTTATGCTTACCACTCACTTAAACTGAAGGAAAACATCCAAAGACAAAAAAAGAAGTCCTCCCCAAAGGCTACTTGAATAAAATCTGAATAAATGAAAGCTCTGTAGGTAATTTAACCCTCTGGATAGAGTGACACAATTTCTACACCCTTAATGAGTATCACGTGCATTCCTGTGGGGAGAGAAATTCCCCAAATTGGTCCTCTTTATGCCTTGTTTCCTTCTTTATGTGCAATTTCATCTTTCTGGGGCCCATATAAATCTCTCCCAGCCTATATTATCTTCCCATGATAAGCCAGAGGCCATAATGACAGCCACCTGTTTTAATGACAGAGCCAGGATGACAGCATTTTCAGCAGAGTGCTGTTAATCTGGATAACCTTTCCTTTCAGGAATGCCATCCCCACCCTCTCACAGCTACATGCCAGCTCCAGAGCACCTGTTCCCCCTACTTTGAAAAGGTAAATTCCTCCCCAAGGGGGCTCCCCTGCCTACATCCCAATCCCCTGCTACACAATTTGTATAAATCTTGTACTTTTGGTCGCTATGGTTTTCTCAATCAAACCAGCAGGGAGAAAACATGGAGGATGGAAACATTGTCTGAGGGTCCACATTAATATCCTGTAATAGCTCAGCCAGAAATTTGTCAACATCATTATTTGTAGGGAAAGGAAATTATTCTATTAAATGAATTATCATTTGTAAGGGGCTTAGAATAGTGTGTGGCAGTCATTAGTGCCATGTCAGTGTTTACTAAATTAAAAAAAATTAAAACAGCCCCTTTCCCCGGGCTTCTAAGGCTGAGGGCCCCTGCTGTCCAGTCCCCCAGGACATGAGGTGTGTGGGATCAACAGCACTGCAGGGTCCAATGCCAGTGACTGCCAGTGGCACCCTTCACTACTCAGGTATATCCAGGGAGGGGCTTCCGGACCTCTGGCCACCTCCAGTGAGCCCCATTCACATTCCCAGGCTCCCTGATACTGACTAGATGGCTAAACGTGGATTTTACCATCAAAGCTGTGATGGCAAGCCCACCTAAGTCAGGCTCAGGTGGTTCTCGGCTTGTCTCTGGCCCGGGACACACAGCATGGGATAAACTGGAAATCAGATGGGCCTCAGTGCAGAGCTGGCTTTTTCTCTTACGAACTGGATGACCACAGGTGGGGCTTGTCACTTCCCTAACAAAAGGCTGTGGTGCCGACAGGTGACATATGACGTGGTCTGGCTCAGAGCAGGTAGTCAGGGCAAGTTACCTGCTTTCCTCCCTCCCATGATACCTAAGATCTGCTCATCCTCTGAGGCCCAAGGCATCTGCATGAAGTGGGAGGAGGGGAATGCCATCAGCTGCCCTTTCCACCAAAGAAGCTTGTTTTCCTGCCTCCATGCTGGGTCCCCTAGCAGCATCCCTGCTCCTGGGCTAGCACCTACTGCTCCAACCATGCTTAGGCTGAATGTCTAAGATTCCCCGATGTCCCCGTCCCACACACTGCTGTGAATCCACACACACCTTTCCTGCTTCCATCCTTGTTCAGATGGAAGCCTGGGCTCTCCTCTGAGGCTGATCCCGTCTGTGCCCTGGATCCCATGCCCTCTTGCCTTCTCAGGGACTCTCCCCCTTCCCTCCTCTCCTGATGCCTTCTGTGCATTTAGATGAATCAGTTTCTCCTCTCTTTAAGAAACATCTGGCTGGGTGCAGTGACTTATGCCTATAATTCCAGCACTTTGGCAGGCCGAGGCAGTTGGATCACCCGAGGTCAGGAGTTTGAGACTAGCCTGGCCAACACGGCGAAAACCCATTTCTACTAAAAAGAGAAAAAATATAGCAAGGCATGGTGTGCATGCCCATAATCCCAGCTACTCAGGAGGCTGAGGCATGAGAATTGCTTGAACCCAGGAGGAGGAGGTGGCAGTGAGCTGAGATCACGCCACTGCACTCCAACCTGGATGACAGAGGGAGACTCAAGAAAAAGAAATCCTCCCCCCAAGTTTATTCTGTCCCGTTCACTGCCACTACCTCTCTTCTCCCCTCTCAAACCGAGCTTCTTAAATGAAATTCCTACAGCTGCTCAGTTCCAACTCACATATAAATCCCCTGCACCCTGGCTTCCTTCCTCCCTTATAGCCCAATGCTGCTTCTGTGGGCACCAATTTCACCCGATCCTTAGTGCCTGCAATGACTGTGGGCTAGTTCAGATTCCCTGTTCTTCTCACGAAAAATATTTCCCCAGGTCACATGATTTTGTCAATAACTCCCAAAATATATCTACAGCCAAGGGGAGAAGTGTTTCAAGACAGGGGTGCTCAATGATATCAAGTAATATACGCACTGAAGTGTCTACTAGATTTAGCTATATGTAAGTCACTGACAACGTCTGTAAAGTTTTTTGTAGTGGGGTAGGTACACTGCAGATCAGTTACCTAAACTCAGTGAGTTAAAGTGACTTAAAAGGCTCAATGTCACACACCTAGATAGATCCGATCCAAGAACATGGACTCTTGACGTCTACTGTGTTATTTCATAATAAGTGTGGACTGAGCTTGCCTTCCCTTGTGAGAGTAGAGAAATGCGCTTTAAGGCATGGCTGGTCTACTTCACATGGGCAAGTTTCAGAGTCATAAAGAGCAATCTTAGGGCCAGGTGCAGTGGCTCACGCCTGTAATCCCAGCACTTTGGGAGGCGGAGGTGAGCAGATCACCTGAGGTCAGGAGTTTGAGACCAGCCTGGTCAACATGGCAAAACCCTATATCTACTTAAAAAATACAAAAATAATTATCTGGGCTTGGTGGCACGTGCCTGTAATCCCAGCTACTCAGGAGGCTGAGGTGGGAGAATTGCTTGAACCCAGGAAGCAGAGGTTTCAGTGAGCTGAGATTGTGCCACTGCACTTCAGCCTGTGTGACAGAGCAAGACTCTGTCTTAAAAA